AGTGCTTGTTGTTTGTCATTTCTCCGATCCCAAATGCAGACATGGTTTTATGTTTACGCGGCGAGATGCAACGCAATGCGTTAAAAGACAGTATAAGTCATTATAATCCATAATTATGTTTTTGTCTCGTCGCTCCGGCTGGACAGGGCATCATCACAGTATGGTGAGGGGCGTAACATTTCCGTCACACGCTTGAGGTATTCGGCCAATCACAACGCACTGGATAGCTGGCCAATCACAGCACACCTTGCTTTTCAGACCGATGAGCTTTGTAAAAATTGACGCGTTTCAGAAAGGCGGGGCATAGAGGAGAAACAATAATGTACAGTATGTGGAAAATAATGTGTTTTTTTAACCTTAAACCGCATAAACACATTTCATTACACCAAATACACAAAATAATGTTCTTTTTAGCAACATCATATGACCCATTTAAACAAGTGACAAAAATGCATCTTGAATAATTCTCACAATAAAATACAGCACAGTGATTTATCCTGCACATCAGCACTATCATCAATGACAACATGGCTTTTGGAAAGAAATTTGGCTTTTGTGTGAAATGGGCAGCATTACGTCGGAGTACTGACCTTGTGGAGGACGAGAGGACACTCCAGACCACACTTACACGTGCCATCGGTCAGCAGGTACGACTTCAGCTGCTCGAGGCAGGACAGCACTGATCCACTCGGACTAAAAACACACACACCAAAGGATCACAATTACAGTAAAATAATGTTAGACACTTTCTACAAATAATTGCCTGTGTCTGGAGAACCACATGAAATGCTCCAGACGAGGGCAGCTGGTTTGGGTTGGTAACTTATCAGGAACCGTCGAGCCTCGCTGATGTGAGCGATTCAAAACCATCACACTGAACACCTGATGTTGATCTGGGATGCATTTTTCTCCCTACTTTTTGCAGCGATGCGCATGCAGAACCATCCGTATGTAAACAGGACCAAATCACATCGCGTCTTAGCGTTTTTGTGTCAGCTGCAGTTTCACCGAATCTCATAAATGATGCTGCGAGTGACACGCCACCTAAACTAAACTTAAGCTGAACAATGCCACTGTCGCACTGACGAAGACATATTTTAATTAGAAATAATGCAAAATAGTGATTCACGGCTGTTAGGAAATGTTTATGGATGGTTAATTTCGGCAGGAATGAATGTGGACCCTGGCGATGCATGTTCAGACAGAGCAGGTCCATACCTGATATACAGGACCCCCGAGGCCTCCACCTTGCGCTGCCAGCCGATGGGCACCTGGGCGAGCTGACCTCCGCCCTCAGCACCCTCCCTCTCTTTTCCTCCATTCATTTTTCTGGATCAGTGCAAAACTGCTGGTGAGAGATCACACGCTCTTCTCTGTCCCGACACAATGTCTCATTCTGACGCTCAGAAGAGAGAAGACGAGCACAACAGGACCGCAGCGAGACACTCACAGCGCAGCCCAGAGAAAGGGCCGCATTACTTTGCCACTCGATGCAGACAGGAACTCTGCCGCTAGTGTCTGAGCAATCAAAGCCATGAGAAAAGAGTCTGAAAGCGCTTCCAATCTGGACATAAAAGCACCTCAAATAAACACATGGAAAGAGTTGCAGCTCCCAGCAGGCCGAGGGTCAGGCGTGGCGTGTTCACAGCAGACAGCGCACCTCACGATCTGCAGACGCACTGCTCATCATGGACCGTTCAGATGCAGCTCTCGCAAACTCATGGTTCCTAAAGAGAGAAAGAGAATATTATAATCTGACCACTTCTGGAAATACGGGAGTCGAGATCGGAGCTTTCGTCCACAAACACCTCTAGTTTCCAGATTCTTTACAGTCGCTCTGACGCAAACTCGCATCATTCACAGCAAACCTTTATTATGCGAAAACTACAGCGCGCCACTACTCTACATATAATGTAATAAATACATAATGATCTGTAAACGGAAGATTTCACCCAAACGCAGCTGTAAGTCAAACACTGATCACACCTTGCAAACCTCAAAATGAAACTCCAAGGAACAAAATGCCCTCTCGTCAAATGTTAAAATTAAAAACTAAATAAATGTTTGTCTAATTAGGGCTGCACGCTACATTGTTTCAGCATCGATATCGCGATGTGCGCATCCGCAATAGTCACATCGCAGGACGTGCGATGTTTAGTATACTGATCATTATATTTATACGGATCGTTTTCTTTGCTCACACAGAGATGCCGTGTCTACAGCTAAAGCCGTTCTACACTGGACACAACAGAGCTGCAAATCATTTGATCTTTGTGTCAGTGCCTCATAAACAGAACACATCAGTTTACCGTCGGGGATTTGTCGTGCACCGCATCCAGAGTAGACAGCTTCACTGATTATAATGGGTTCTGTAGTATTCTGTCGTCCGGTGTAGACACGCAGATGCACATGAACACTGAATTCTGTTCATTTCTGCGTCTATTTGTGCCTGAAATGGCACATACGCACAAAATTATGGCAAAATGCATGTCTCTGCAAGTATGCTTGTAAACAGTTGCTTATGGCTTAGGTGAAGGAAAACCACAGAGAAAGAAAATGGATGTGTAACACTATATTGGTTCACAGCAGTTTAATATTCCTGTTGCTTTCTGTGTCATGTTAATCAAAAAAACACAATCACTTTTGCAGCTTTAACACAGATTTATTAGATTTTATTTATACAGTGAAGAGAAGACTATGCAGTTATTTTACATTTGATTATTCAATTTCTGTACCTGAATACTGTTAGACTAACCTGAAAAATGTAACGCACTGTTCATTTCATTTCTATCTTTGTTCTATTATATTTATCTATGCTTGTAATTTGTTTATTTTCTATGCTGATTTACTCACCTACAAAATCACCCCAATCATTGATTTTTTCCCCCAAATAGAGCTATTCAAGTCATCTAGTGATTTTTTTTTTTATATCGCAGAAAAACAAAATATCGCAATGTGAGTTTTTTCCAATAGCATGCAGCCCTACTGTCAAACACACATTCTCTCTTTTTTGCCCTTGTTTAGATGCAGCAGTTGGACTTGGCACAGATGGAGCACAGAGATGCAAATTTGGCAGCGCTGGCAGCCCCGGGGCCACGTAAGAGGAAACCTCTGGAGGCTCCCGGCTCAGGGGCCAACCAGGTACCTGCACATGTCCATACAGTCGCCTCTGTTGTGAGTTATCCTGTGTACTGTCTTAATACTTCATTCTGTGCAGATGTGCAGGAAATGTTTACATATGTGTTCAAAATCAATCACATATATAAACAGTCTGGAGTACAGAGCATTTGGTCATTTTTAAATTTCTGGCTCTTACCTCACAAATATAAAGCACTGTTTATTTCATTTGTTTCTTTGTTCAATCTATGCTTGTAATTTGTTTATATTCTATGCTGTTTACTCATTTACTCACCTACAATATCACCCCAATCATTGATTATTTTTCTCCAAATAGAGCTATTCAAGTCATCTGGTGATTTTTTTTCATATCGAAATATATATTGCAGAAAAACAAAATAGCGCAAATTTTATGAGTTTTTTCCAATATCGTGTAGCCCTAACTCTAATGTCTAATGAAAGAATCAAATCAAATCAAATCAAATCAGAATTACTTTAGCAGACATGCTAACAATCTCACAGGTCATCTTCAGAGGTCATGCGGCCTAAACCGCCAACCAGACATCATCAAATCATCCGCATAAAGAACATAAAGACACATTTCTCACACTCAGGAGAAGGATCTGCGTCCAGTAAAGACACGAGGAGCTCTGAATAACTCCATTCAGAACTGATTTCTCATTAAATTAACTGTAAATTAAAGGTAGAAGTTACAATAATCTTCTTCCATGATTGTGTTATTTACTTCAAGAAGCACTTCATGATATAGCGCGGATGTACTTTATCCAGTGAATGACTCGATCAACTAAAGGAGAATCATCAAGCGCTCTTCAGTCAATCACTGTACAGTGACCCGCGTACACTAAACAACACACAGGTCAGCACTGTGACTGACAGCTGAGATCCACCAATGAAAGATGAAATCAGAATATACAGGTTCTGCACAGCAGGCCTTTATAATGTGAACGCGTCAGCACGGGTTCAAGAAAGATTAAAAAAATCATGGATGAATTTCAGTGATTTTAATAAGAGCTCTTCTATTCTGAAGCACAAACATCATGAACTCAGACGTGTGTCACGCTGGGCATTCTGGACTGGCTTAGGTGAGCGTATGAGATCTGGACTCACTCCCGAGCACCAGCAGTGTGAACCGGTGTGAGTCCAGATCACACAATCCTCAGCTGCACAGACAGAGACACGGCCGGACTACAAGAAGATCACTGTGTCACTGTGTTGCTGACTCACGACAGGACTGAAGGAGCGGCACACACACACAAATAAACACACACACTCAAACTTACACTGTCACACACGCGCACACACTGTCACACACACACTCACACTGTCACACACACTCACACTGTCACACACACTCACACACACTCACACACTGTCACACACACAGTCGCACACACATACACTCACACTGTCACACACACACACACACACACACACACACACACTCTCACACTCTCTCACACACGCACGTGCACTCTCACACACACACTCTCACACACGCACGTGCACTCTCACACACACACTCTCTCACACACACGTGCACTCTCACACACACACACTCTCACACACGCACGTGCACTCTCACACACACACACTCTCTCACACACGCGCGTGCACTCTCACACACACACACACACACACTCATTCTCACACACACACACACTCTCTCACACACGCACGCGCACTCTCACACAAACACACATGCACTCTCACACACACCCACACACTCATTCTTACACACACACACTCTCTCACACACGCACACTCTCTCAAACACACGTGCACTCACACACACACCCACACACTCATTCTTACACACACACACTCTGTCAAACACACGTGCACTCGCACACACCCACACACTCATTCTCACACACACACTCTCTCACACACGCACGTGCACTCTCACACACACCCACACACTCATTCTTACACACACACACTCTGTCACACGTGCACTCGCACACACCCACACACTCACTCTCACACACACACTCTCTCACACACGCACGTGCACTCTCACACACACCCACACACTCATTCTTACACACACACACACTCTCACACACGCACACTCTCTCACACACACACTCTCTCAAACACACGTGCACTCACACACACACCCACACACTCATTCTTACACACACACACACTCTGTCACACGTGCACTCGCACACACCCACACACTCATTCTCACACACACACTCTCTCACACACGCACGTGCACTCTCACACACACCCACACACTCATTCTTACACACAGACACTCACACACACACACACTCTCTCAAACACACGTGCACTCACACACACGCGGGTGGCTATATCCACCGAATGTGGCTGTTGCTCTGACATAAGTCTGGGGGTCAGTGATGATATCCTCGGAGACCCTCACACTCTCAGAGTTAGACCGGGCCCACTCCAGTGATGCTCCAGTTCTTACACAGAGATCATGCAGGTCCGGCCAGTCTGACCAGACACCAAAACCAGCAGAGTGAGTGTCCAGTTTCCCGCTGGGTTGAAGCCAAGGAAGTGGGGCTCTGACTCCCTGCAAACGGCAGCTTGCGTCTCCTGAGGTCCAGGAACAGGGAGGATCGAGCCAGCTCCCTAACATCTTTGTCATCATTATTCAGCATGTTCAGAAGGTGGGAAATCCGCATGCTGAATCCATATCATGTTTGGTACCCCCAGTCCTCCTTCCCATTGGGGATGAAAAATAATGTCACGAGTGCTATGTGTATTTAGTTCAAACCACTTTTGCACTAAGCTCACTGTTTTGTTATTCATTTCGCTCAGCACTTTCTGCTGGATATGAACGTTGGAGAACAGATGTTGTACTTTAGACAGTGCCACCTGTCTAATAGCCTCCAGCTTCATAATCAGTGGCAGTGGACATTTATCAATCAAGTCCAGCCTGCATGTGACAAGATGATGTTTACTTGCTCTTTCCATTCTCCTGCAATATTAATTTTATGTCCAAGATAAGTGTATGTCTCGTGAAGAGAATATACACGTATAGGTTTTGTTGCTACTGTAAACACTGGACATTTATCAGATTTTGAGCGGTACCATCTGTTTCCTCCACTCCTCCTCTCATACAGAACAGCACATTTTGTGACCTTAATCTCCAGGCCTGACCATTTCAGAAAAACATCTGTTCTGGCTAGCATGTTTTTAATTACGCTCTCTTCTCTGGAGGCAATCTGGACATAATCTGCATAGCCCTGTACTAGGATAGGAGATATCACACGTGCACTCTCACACACTCTCTCACACACACAGACACACTCTCTCAAACACACGTGCACTCACAAACACACCCACACTCATTCTCACACACACACACACACACTCTCTCACACACGCACGTGCACTCTCACACACGCACGTGCACTCTCACACATACACACTCACACACTCTCTCACACACGCACGTGCTCTCTCACACATACACACTCTCACACTCTCTCACACACGCACGTGCTCTCTCACACATACACACTCTCACACTCTCTCACACACGCACGTGCTCTCTCACACATACACACTCTCACACTCTCTCACACACGCACGTGCTCTCTCACACATACACACTCTCACACTCTCTCACACACGCACGTGCTCTCTCACACATACACACTCTCACACTCTCTCACACACGCACGTGCTCTCTCACACATACACACTCTCACACTCTCTCACACACGCACGTGCTCTCTCACACATACACACTCTCACACTCTCTCACACACGCACGTGCTCTCTCACACATACACACTCTCACACTCTCTCACACACGCACGTGCTCTCTCACACATACACACTCTCACACTCTCTCACACACGCACGTGCTCTCTCACACATACACACTCTCACACTCTCTCACACACGCACGTGCTCTCTCACACATACACACTCTCACACTCTCTCACACACGCACGTGCTCTCTCACACATACACACTCTCACACTCTCTCACACACGCACGTGCTCTCTCACACATACACACTCTCACACTCTCTCACACACGCACGTGCTCTCTCACACATACACACTCTCACACTCTCTCACACACGCACGTGCTCTCTCACACATACACACTCTCACACTCTCTCACACACGCACGTGCTCTCTCACACATACACACTCTCACACTCTCTCACACACGCACGTGCTCTCTCACACATACACACTCTCACACTCTCTCACACACGCACGTGCTCTCTCACACATACACACTCTCACACTCTCTCACACACGCACGTGCTCTCTCACACATACACACTCTCACACTCTCTCACACACGCACGTGCTCTCTCACACATACACACTCTCACACTCTCTCACACACGCACGTGCTCTCTCA